GTCTTACTATGGCTATGACAATTATCTCTAACCAGTTGCCCCATAAATTCGAAAGTTTTCATTGTGTTACTTCATTTTCAGTTAGTTTTTCTTTGTAAACATATTGTATATATTGTTAATAAACCTTCCTTACGACGATAACTTTTGGGTGACAAAATTCTGAGCTATATAAGTAATTCTGAAATGATAATTAATGTTATTCCTTGATCTTTGAATACAACAGACGTTTGGCACTCAATATGGAAACAAAGAACAGAGACCATGTCTTGAAACCAAGCGTTTCCATCGTGTACGATGAGATCGACACTGACACTGAGCTTCCACATACCTGGAAGAATGTACGCCAATACGGCTGAGGGTGTCACTAACTCGTAGTGATGTCTGTAGTTGGGTCAAGAATATAGCAACCTGGCCTCAGTATCTCAAACATGAGTCAGGAACATATATAATCATTTCACTGCTTTATATTGGTTGAGACATGTCAGATAGAAAAATTTTGAGCGTTGATTTTATCTTTAACGCTCTGTTTTGCCAGTGACAACAAATTTATTTTTTCACTTACCACGGGTTAACTCTGACTTTTAGTTCCCGAGGCATGAAAAAAATCAGACAGCCAAGTTACTGATAACTAAGTACTACATTCCATTGACGTGCTTTCAACACGTTCCTTTTTTTCTTTTTATTTGCATATTTATTCACTAAGTGATTGTCTGATGAAAATGCTAGAATAAAGGCAAGTGCAAAGTTTCATATCAACTTTTGATTGGAATTATACTGAACTATCCTTGCATAAACTAAAAGGAAAGAGAGTGTACGATTGTAGAGAACACGGAGAGCAAATGTGGCATGTGGGACAATAAATAACTTTCGTCTCTTTAATAGCTCTAAGTACAGAAGATTTCTTTCGGATATGGCAAGAGTTCGCATTAGAGGCCTCTTCACAAAATCATCTACTGACACATGCAGCAATAATGTCCCAAAACCCCAACCTGTGTGCACTTGGTATATTAAGAGGAATGGGAGGAATTGCTCTGTATTGATCGTTTGTTTTTATACGAGATACTGAAAATAATAGAAATGTGAATCAATATTCTAATCTGTGTCATCCCCCCCTCCCCACGTCAATCAAACAAACTGTCGGTGTTTCGTGGTGCATAACGTAACAATATCTTAGCCTTACTTCCCTGTTGGTACTAACACAAAGTCATGTGACAATTTCTTAACCTGGCTTCCCTATTGACGCCAGTATCCGGTTTAACGTATTTTCAAATTTCACTTCCCTGTCGGCTCTATCCTAAGCTGAAGGTGTGTCAGCAACTGTCACGGATCATTGATTTGAAACTTCGAATTTGCATTGATATAAATTTCTGTTATACCTAGCACGGAGTTGTTACTAAAATAGCAACACTCATGATTTTATTCGAGTTTTAGAAATTTTCTGTCCTCCGCTCTTTTATTGTTGTGTCGTGTATGACACAACATGACTCCAATACATATAAATATCTGTAAAGCATTAAAAAATGATAACATCAACAAACAGAATGAATAAGCCCCCAGGAGTATGACAATAATTAATGTTATTTCGGGTAAAGACGGTTGTAGATCATTCTTAGTTTTATTCTTTATTGTATATTTTCTATTTCAAAAAGAATATCGTCCTACAGGAAGCCATCAGACAACGCATTAAGAACCAACTCTTTTTGAGAATGTGAAAAAATATCTCCTTGTAGTTAGGAACGCTAATACTGTAACACATTACCAGTATTTTAAATACAGATTTCATCCAAATTGAATAAACATTTAAACATACAACATTCTTGACTGGTTGTCTGATTTCCTGAAGTGTTATTGTGAAGGTAATGCACTATTAAGAAATGTTTGTTTTTAAATGTATCATAATGCTTAGAATATGTACGAAAACAGTAGAAGTACAGTTTGTTTTCATCAGTTTATAGCAAGTATAACATGTACATGAAAATCGGATACGTTTATAAACGTAAATGTTGTTACGTTTTCCTACAACGAAACCAACATAGACAGTGTTTCCACCAAGCTGCATGATAAAAGTGATTATTTCAATTTCCCTGTTGTGAATTATCCATTTCTAGATAGGATTATCCCTGCATCTCCAATCTCCAATCTATGGTATTAACATGTCATAGTTGATTCCATATTCAAGGGCCTGTTCCCATTATCACGAAGTCGTCGACTGACGGAGCATCTGGTCTTATTTTCCATGGACTTCTTCCAGAAAATCTCCGCGTAAATCTTTCTTTTATTCATACTTTGGCCTAGTTTTATGGAATTAGAGTCTGGATTATGATTATGTTGGCATGATGGTATATCCTTCTTGCTTTATTTACTGTTGATGATGTGAAGTAAGATTCAGAATTACCTACAACGCTCCTATACAGTCCTGTTCAGGTGTTATGTCCACAACAACATTACATTCTCTATCTTTCTATGATTAAAGGGCAATTTTGTTTTTTAATCTAAACAAAAAGTCAGGTTCACGGACATGTGCGTTCCATCTGTACAGTCTAGCATTGTTAGTTTATTTGACTGTGTGGTTGATATATCTTATGTACCAAAATTCGACAAAAAATACCTTTTCGTTTCCTCTGTGAAACTCACTTTCTCTTCCCTCTAAATGTGCTTTTTTCTGTCTGTGTGTGAGGATGTCTGTATGTGTGACTTTGTCTCCTGTCTGTCAGGTAGTGTCTGTGTGAGTAGAAATGTGCGTAATGCCTCTGAGAGTGTTTGTGTGTGAGGAAGAGGTATTTATAATGATCTATAATGGATGTTACCTCGCATTCCTCTGAATATGAGTGTCTTTACTTTGATATGAATGTTGATGATGATGATGATGATGATGATGATGATGATGATGATGATGATGATGATGATGATGATGATGATGATGACGACGACGACGACGATGATGATTATGACGACGACGATGATGATGATGACGACGACGATGACGATGATTATGACGATGATGATGATGATGATGATGATGATGATGATGATGATGATGATGATGATGATGATGACCATTAGATGAGTGTTTGATGATAATTATTAATAGTGATGGATATTGAAGTTGTTAAATCTGATGATCTTATGAGTGAGTGTTGATGAAAACAATTTTGTCGGAAACAAAAAATTTAAAAAAAAAATATGACAAAGTCAAGTCTGGCCAGCACTTAGATAGGTGATCACTCGTTTGTTCACAGATACACGTGAAATTTGGTGGCAGCGACCGGGCGCGGTTTCCTTTAGGATACTATAAACTGGAACTAATCAGTTACAAGGGTAACATAACAGTTCATGGATATGGAAATTTTCAGCTGCATACTGCAGTCTAATAGTCAACTCTTGTTGCTGTGTGGTTGAATGTTGCGTCCATGTGATGAAACAGCGTCTAGCTTGGTCAACAATTGAGTAGATGACCCAACGCACAATACAGTATCATGACTTTATTATATTTCAATAGGTAATTGTCAATTGTCGTGCTTCTAGATTATTATAATCTTCCAAATCTTCTTTGTAAAACGGAACCTCGTTTTTGTGTGTATTTTGATACTGAACATCACACAAATTATCATAGTTCGGATGTGGCATATCATTTAGAGACTACCAAATAAAAAAATGATTCGAAACAAACGAAAATACAGACAAAAAAAGTAATGTAGAATCACCCGGCATTGTGTATTGGGAAAACTGTGGGCTCTGAAATTATAAGCATTTGTATTTGTTCAACTCGCCAGGTTTATTCTAAGAAATACCATGTCTTCAGTGATGAAAAAGAGACAGCTGACAAATAGATGTTATAACTTTGAGGTAACTTCAATATAATTTCTGCATATCTTATTCCTCTATTACTTTGTATGCAGTACATTTGCCAATCTATATAGACATTTAGCGAACAGAAAAGTTTTTTTAAACAATCTTCTACAACTCCAATATCATATGTACAAAGAATATGGTATATTCGTTACCATCAGGTAATATTGCTATCATCGTCACGGGTTTCTTTGAAGATGAAGCATCTTGAGGCATATCAACCAAAGTAGGAATTTGCAGTGGGCAGATTTGTATGTCTAAGGAATCACTCGTTTACAGAGTAAAATAACATGTATTCTGTTAATTTCTTTCTCAACTAAGTAATCAGATACCAGGATTTGTTATGGTCAACATCAGAATGTATACAATAATAAATTAAGTTAACTATTATAGCTACAGCTTATCTAGAGAAAGCTCACAAGTGGTCTTCTGCTTCTGATCTTATTTACGTTAACATTCTTGTCTGAGTAAGACTTACATTTTGCATTAGGCAATACGCTTCTGATAGGACTGAGTATTTTGCGTCGTATAGCAACTCTCTTCTTCATATGATAACGTCAACATGTGAGATGTATCATATACATATAAATGGACGTTTTGATTATCTCACTAAGAGTCAAGTTTATAAAATTCACTTATCGATTTTGGGACTGAATTGTGATACTAGTTTTCATAACATTGTGACAAAAGTTTTTCCCTTCTACGATAGGAGTCAGAAGGTCTTCTGTAAAAAACAATATTGAATGGATCTAGATGATAACTATAAATCAAGGGGTGATATATCTAGAATATTCAGATCTTTAAAAAAAAAAAAAAAAAACAGAAGCAACGGTTTATAACATAAAGTTGACTAGGCCAATAGTAGGTGATCACCTTAGACAATAGGCCGGAGGGTATATGACGGTGACATATATACACAGATTCAATGGTGTGAAACGTGCTGTTGAGCAGACAGGACACAGAAAGGGAAGAGATACCGGATTATCTATAAATAAACTATGGTTTCCCGGATGTAAGTGTTTAAATCTGTTTGGTCAGTAATATACTATCTACATATGGGAATAGTTTATTTAAGAAATATGCTGTTTTACTTCTGACTGATTAGAAAACTGACTGGGAACTTATAATATTTCGATAAACTTGCCATTTAAAACTTTGTTCATTGCTGTATCAGAACAACATGTTACCCTTGAGGATTGTTTGCATTTGGACACTTATATGTTACTGTCAAGGTAAGTACATTGTACATTTTGACGTTTCTTTACTGCATTGGTAGTGTGTAAACCTACCAAACAAAAGCGTGTTCGTTGGTTCAGATAACTGAGAACTTGCCGTTAATTGTTGATGAGAATATTGAGGTCAATACATAATGCTTTACAGTAAATCAAGTTTAATAACAACGGAAAGTGACTTCATAAGAAGGAAACTGAATTGGTCAAAGTTCAAACGGTGTAAATATTACCCCAGTGTTAAAATGAGTCAGAGGTTAAACCGTTCATTGTTAGTGACTGTGATTCTTTTGTCATTTTCTTCGGTACATCATCCACTAAATTAAAAGAAGGACAAAACAGAAAAAGGGTAACCTCTTCATGAGGATAGAAACGTTATTCGAAGTTAGACTGCCATCAAAATTACCGCATGTGGAAGTGGGGTTGTGACATGCTTAAATATCAAAACAACGGTGCTTACATAATTCTACATTATAATAAGTCTTATGTACAATCTTATAACAAACCATGACTATCCGTCGAATGCTGATGTAATTTTTAAACATGAATGCAATTTCGGAATGGATACAAAAAACAGCTATTATATATGCAATTCATCATTATAAAACATACACACGTTCTTATTCTAAATGTGTGTTTAATTCATTGACACCAGTTTCCTCGCATTTATTTTACAAATATTCAACCAACCGGAAAATGACAACGGTATCTTTTTCTAGATGTCAGAGATGTTACAAATCTATCTGGCAGGCATTTTGCGCGAGTTATAATCATTTGACCTGTATGATATAAGAAATCGTGTGAAAATGTGTATCATGTACTATCCATTTAGATATAATAAAAAAGTACGTTCGGCTTTGTTTACGGACATATATGACTTGACATGAAACGTGAATAATTGTTTATAAACATCGCTGAAAGTAACGTTGAAAATACGTTTACACTTATGATACTAGCGAGCAAAGATGGTGATATCATGTTAGAGTAGACATTAGAATAACGCACTTTAGATTCATTTTCAGCTTTGCTTAATCACATGTATCATTGGAACCTTCTCGCCTGATTTAGATCGAGGGCAACCCAGACAAAAACAATACCGAAATGTTAAATTAATCGTATATAATCATAAGATGTAGACCATATAAAGGGTAAAGAAAAAGAGAAATAGATATTCCTATGTCCTTCAGCATCGTAAATAAAATCACGTTTTCAATTGAGAACAAGACTAGCAATGAAATCATTACGAAAACTCGTACATACTCATCGACCGCACTACATTGCAGTACTACCACATTATATAACCTGTAAATTTCGCTTAACTACATTTTCAGCAGTAGAGCGCCTTGCATTCAAATCAGAGGGAATTTCTGCATCTTTTTATGTATCGCATCAGACTTTTTTTGTATTAATAACACTTGTGACAAGAGAGTCTAGTAAAAACCTATATATCCCTCTCTCACACTGTCCATTATGTTGTCAAATGTGATCGTTTGCCTCTTAACGAAGATTATCAGAATTGGATTTTAAACTTGGTAGTACAGTGGTATATTCTCAACATTTGAATTAAAGGTGGAGTTCCAAAATGGTGTGGGAAGCAAATGCAACAGCTTGTATGTGCTATTGGTAGCCTCTGTAGTTGTACCTTTACAAATAGATATTTAAGTCATAACATATACATACGCAAGAATGAAGCACCCTTTTGTATTAAAATGAGAAAACAGTGTTGTTTTTAGGGGAAAATGCTACAATATCATTTCTTCATTTTCTTAAGAAAACTAACATGAACATGCTGATACTAACATGTTAGATATCACATATGCAAAACAAAACGTCACAGTTTCGAATACATTGGGAACAGGAGATGAGAATGTGGTGAATTTGGAGAACATGCTCTTTTTACATTACGCGAAATTTTCTGAAAGTCAAATATACAGCTTCCTATTGGAACCCATTAGTATTTACGTGCTAAATACATCTTTAAACAGTATTAGAAAAATAACCCAAGAATAGCAATTATGATATGTGTGCAAAGTAATTCTTACTGATTAACAATATTTCTAACGAATTTCTACGGAAAGTCCAGCAAAGGGGAAAATCTGCTTTGGATTGAAGCATTGTAAATTAAACTGAAATAAAATGTTTACACTTGGTTTTATTAGTACAAACAGACAGTCACCTACACTAATAACCCACCAAAGTGAAATTTCAACTTTCAAAATGACCGTCATGTTCCCTGATAACCATAAAAATGAATTTACACATTAAACCACCTAACCTGGAATCTAATGTGGCTTCTTCGTTCCAGAATATGATTGGCCATATACGTGTTGGTCTACATCGTAGTTCGAAATGTCCAAATCGACCACACCTAATGCCTTGATGATGGCGGTTGGTAGTAAAATCTACATGACTTGAGGTTTGTCTTAAACCTTTTGACATTTGAATGCAAAAGCTTACTGGTTTCCAAATGCATGTAGTATCATAAATAGTACAGGATACAGGTTACGTGGGCATACACCCCGATTGGTCTCTGTACAGTAGGACACTGGCAATAATAATCCTTTATAGGATTAATGACGTCGTAGCTGTCATGCTGGATCAAAACACTGTACTTTACACTGTTCATATGCCTCGAACGGATCTGACATCGTACAATGTCTCTTGAGTGCCAATAGATCCCGATCTCGTAGCCACCATCATCATTGAGGTGTTATCTTATGTAGCCAGCTGCCAATGATATTTGGTAAATACAACAGGGTATTATCCGACGGTAGTCTATGTCTAACTTTGAAAAGTCACAATTATCCGCAGTAGCATCTAGTTTGACAAATAGTGACTTGGCCCTTCTAGTAAGATCTCATTTTAGCACGCTGAGCTAAGTTGTTGTGAACATTAATGCGAGTTTTTATTTTGACAGCAAGCGTCCTATCCTTCGCGTCTCGTTCTAGTGTTCAAATATATATGGGTCTCCGTGTGTCTCGATGACATCAATAAAATAGTTGGAGACAAGTTGTGTTTTAACAACATAGTCATTGCTTTAATCGTTCGTGGGATGATTCCACTTCCGATCTGTATATAGTTAATGATCTATCAAGGTTAGCTTTTTGGTCGTCATGTTGAGTCTGTCCAGGTTTTCGATAGGACGGCATACTTCTCGTCAAACCACTTGATTCCAAATCTGGCAAAACTCTTGTTTTGACAGCATATGTGATATCTCCAAAAGATAATTGATGATTTTCTTTGATCTGGAAGGTAACTGGGAAGTCAACATTTCACTTTTTTCAGTACGGATTGTCATATCATACCAAGATACGAAAACATCACTAGGAAGCATGTTCCAGAACGTAAACCTAAATATGATATATATGTGATACAAAAATAGTAAAAAAGTAACATGCAATATAATGTAAAATGCAGTATGCGGTTGGTCTGGTCTGCTAAAGCTCGTCGTTTTTGGTAGGGATCAAAATTGTCGGTATTTTTGGTGTCACGCACGTATGTATATTTTGAAATATGACATTATTCAAATGAAGAATTAAGAATAAGATGTAGCTAAATAGTGAAAAACAACTGTTCCATAGAGCTCTTTCGACACTCTTTAGATGACAACGGCTATTGCTTCCTAACGATCTCAGTATGTGTTTGCACGATATTCGAAACAATTCAGCACAAACAGAAACATAGAAGTCTTCGATCAGTCACAGTAAAACTACATTTGATCATGCTGGTTATCATTCATAGAAATCGTTTACGACAACGTGTTATGAACGCGTTATATCGGTAGATAACAACGAAACAATCTGGCAAATACTGGGATAGAAATTAAAAAAACAACACATTGACATGAGAAAAATAGGGTCGAAGAATATTCCGATCTGTCAACAGTATTCGGGGACAAAATTTTACGAAGAAATAATAACGTAAAACAAGCATTAAGTGATACTCTTTAATGAGTACAAGGGGAAAAGTTCCAGAAAGGTAAGTCTCGTTTATTTCATCGACTTCACCTGCCGTGTAATTCTTGGTCAAAATGTCACGGTCTCGTATGTAAACAAGGTTTACAACAAGGAATTTCACCAGTCATACTATCTGGCATTAAAAACATCTAACTTCACAACAACGAAACAGAATATTTCCAAGCAATGTTAACACGGTGACCCTAATGTATTCCCGTAGTCTTCATCAATATAACTGTCTGCTGTAGTCATCATTTACCACCAAAATAACCTCCTGGATAGAGGTCGATTTTAGAAAATAATTAGATATGTAAATCGAATCATTGGAATGTGTTTGCCAATAATTTACTGTCATATAAACATTTATTCGTCTAAATATATGTTAATTTGTTTACTTCCAGAAATACAATGCACGATATGTTCAGAAGCTGCAGCCTCGGAAAAAATTGAAGGTAAAAACCTAATTTTCAAGCAGAGCAAATTAATGTAACAGCCTTGGTACATTTCATTACTTAAGTTAATATCATTATCAATTTACATATAAAATATGGTTCACCGGGAATACTGTAAAATATACAGCAATCCAGCTTTAACATCTATATCGAAAGTAATTTGTAACCAAACGAATTCAGAACAAACACGAAACAGAAAAAGTGTAATTTTATACTAAGGAAAAGAAACAGAACACACTGTTTTAATAATTGGGTAAGCTATAGAAGTTTTACTCTGTGCAGAGATTTTGTGTTATTTCATACACTAATTGAATAAAATGTTGTTGATATAGAAACTCCTTTAATTTATTCAAACATGTAATTAGAAAAATAATATATTTTGACATCTAAAAACATGTCGACACTTTTTCGTAATACTAAAACATTGTTGTCGGTTGACGATCAAGGATTTTTTTCTGTTAATCTGACATCCCAACCTTCACAGTGTTGTTTGTTTTCTTTCACAATAAACCATATTTCATTTCTAATTATGAACTAATCGTAAATAAATAATGTATATACAAATTGTCAATGTGGTCACAAGTTAATTGATAATTGAAAAATTGCAATAATGTAAATTATATATGCACTAATACACTATTAATTAACTTTAATTTTTAATTATAGTGATCAGGATGTGTCGGAGTGGAAGTCTAACAACAGATCGGGTAGTCATAGATACGTATGACACTGGAGACCCGGATGTATATAGCTGTACCTGTACCGCAACTAGATATTTCACATCTAGCTATCTTGTTACCTTTGACATGGTCCATAGAGTTCAACAAAACCTAAATTGTAACAGCATTCTGACTGTAGAAACCCCAGGGAAAGACTCTCGCGAATTTGAATGCGTATGGCCTAACGAAGTATACTCTGAGAAAAGAGAGTCGTTGAAAATTACATTGTCCAGGAAAAATGACAAATCTCCATGGAAATTTGGCTATTGTTTTCGAATTGAAACAGGTCAGTTTTATTATACAAGTCTTTAACGTGAGGACTGGGGTTTGTCGTGTCAACTGCTTCTAACTTGTATAGTAATGTTTTTCGTATTGTAGCTTTTTAATTCCTATTGTAACTTTCGATATTCTTATTGTGTCTATAATAATCCATACAATAAGGATATTAATGCAACATGAACAAGACAATTCGGCGAATTACAGCCCTCAACTGATACACCACCTTACCTATGTGAACCAACACATCAGGTATGAAGTACCAGTAAATAGTAATTGTAGGAGATAGAACCCAGACATACTTTTACTTTGATGTATTTCAAAGGTTAAAATGTATATCAGAGTGACCAAGTTTTGATACACCTCGCACTGTCTCAACAAGATGAACCCATGCTCAAAACAGGTTGTTCAGCTGGCAAGTATTGTAGGGAATAAAACACGTACAAACTTTATCCTTTGCTAAATAGCAAAATGTATGTCATCCTGACCTACTTTCTTCACATAACAAATGGTGTTACCAAAATTAACCAATACCTGAAGTACGATGTTTTAGTGACAAATTGTGAAGGAGAGAGAAACCCGAACATCATATAGGGAGGACGGGCGGACACAACGCATAACTATAGTTCTTCTTCCCCAGTTCACGGTGGAGGGCTAATAACAAAGATGCAATATGAATGACAAAGATACAATAATAATATTGAAATATACCATATGAACAACAAATATACATAATTATTGAAACATAGATAACAATTCTAACTATATACAGTATTTTGCGATGTGTGAAACGCTATACCAGTTGTCGCAAAAATTGCAAGAACTACAAGATATTGCTGATTTTGGCGAAAATTATATTTCAATATAATATCTGTATTTTCAAAAGAAAACAACAAAAAAACGAAAAAAAATACAAAAAAAACGAGAGATACTAATATATCAGCAAAACCATAATCCAAATACAGATTCAACAACGCTATGGCAAATTATGAAGAAAAGAAAGATTTTCACGGAGAATCTTGAAAATGTACAAGGAGATTAAGATCAGTAATCGATCACAAAAGTTTCAGCAAAAACCAAAACAAGATAACACGTTGGAAATATCGTAATCACCAATAGGAATGGGAGTAATGATATGATGGATTTATTGTGAATTGATGCACATTATGAACGCTAAAAAACCACTGGAGTTGTTGTTATGCCTACATTGTTTAAAAATCAAAATTGTTAAACATTGTCTTTACCACATCTTATTCTAATTCTCAAATTGTTGGTATTTTAATTCATAATTCATTTTTAATCTTTTGTTTTCGATTAGAGAAAATATATATTTTTATAAATAATATATATATATATAAATTAATCATTTCTGTGTGCTCTAATGTCGCAGAGGCGATTGAGTTCACACCGGTAGGCCAAATTAATACTCAATTATTTTTAAAAAATATGTTTTAATAATATTATACATATATGAATTACAAACTACGCGATGTAAACATTCCATAATTCCTTTTTATTTCAGAACAATATTAAAATATATATTATAAATTGTAGATGCTGCCAATATACTTTGTTTTATCTATAGATAACACCAAATGGAATATAACTTGTCTCCCACCTGTAAAACTGACAACTACCCAGGAGTCAGTTACAGAAGAACCCTCGTCAACTACAGCGGGGATCAGTATGGAAAAAGCCTGTTTACCACAAACTGTTGAAATGTCAACAGGTACGTCAATATCATTTCAGTAACATAGTAACATCTAACCCCCAACTCCGCCAACATACAAACACACAAATCCTAAAACATGCGAACATCTTCTGATTGGTCTATTTCCGTTAGGTTAATATGTTTGCCCTATTTTATGATATAAAATGTCATAATTAGAAGTTTTGTTAAGTGGTTGTTCGTGGCGATTCAAACTGGCTAGTAGATTAATATATATCTATACTTTGTTGCTTAACAATGTGTTACAGAAGCTGTGGTGGTACCTATTGTCGTCGTTGTGTTGATAGCAGTAATCACTACAGTAGCCAACGTCATACTTTATCGCAGGTAGGTCGGATATCAGTATATCTTCAAATGTAATTCTGAATCGTATTATTTCTTTATTATTGTCACCTTAGAGTGGTAATCTGAATGAAAGTGGTGATTTAGTTACATTACATCTTAATTACTTATTGCCATTATTTACTTTACTTTGTTAAAATAGGTCTACAGACACATCCTTTTTTGATAGTTTTAAAGTAATCACACACTTGTATACTGTATGCGTTTGATTTCCCCCTTTTTCGTCTATGAGCTGGAAGAGCGAATTTCAGATGGGCCGAAAATTTGTTAAACTTATATAACCTTTTATTAAATCTTACGAGGGCGAAATGAACATTCACCTTGTTCGTCTGATATGATACAAGGGCGAAAAATGATCTGGGATGTTATTATCCAGGTATACAGTGTATCAATAAGTGTAAATGCATATATCTTTCTTAGCTAACATAAACCTGGATATGTTGTCAAAACCGATTGGCAAATCCATCGTTTTATTACCAGAGTGCCTATATTTTTAATTGGGATAACGTGATAATAACATTGTTTGTTGTAGTGTTCTATCTTACTTGGTTGTGTTAAGTCGAATTCTATAATTTTATCGAAATGTTTATCCATTGTACTGCAGACGCTTGAAACTCGAAAAGGAAACAAAGAACATCCACCCTGTCATACAGTCGTCTACTTCTGTTGTATACGATACCATCGATACAGATCGTCTCGAACCTCCGCATACTTACACAGAAACTTTTGCCGGCAGAACGTACGTCAACAGCTCCGCGGAAGTTACCACATCACAGACATGACGAACACATATCGTGTGAAAAACATATATATTACACTGCAGCGCAGACTATAACACAAGCAAGGCAGTGTTTGCTGCATTTGGAATTCGGAATTGACTATTCAAATTGTATTGCACAGAAAATTATAAAACTATATGGTAAAGGCACGTGCATGAACATGTATCTCGAGTCCATCAGCTGATGTCATCTTTAGCTCGTCAACGTGATAAATGTTGATTACACATCAATGACACTTTGACCATTGTGTATATCAATGAATCAGCTGAACTACCTTGGATGCTTTCCTGTTGAATCTTTTAACATTCCAACTGATATGTATATGGCGGTAGTACATTTGTAAATCACACAAATATCGGATAATAAAACTATCACATTTATGCTGCCAAAACCCATCGGAACCATTGGTCGTATCCACTTTTGAAATAAACCCAAGAAAGATCAAAAAAGGAAAAAAATGAATAGACTATCTATATTGAAATTTACTTGTGGAATTTGTAGACTATTTTCAGTTAACATCAATAACAATAGGGTTTACAGAGAGGGCAGTCTCCATAGAAGTTGATTTTCAAACCCTAATTTTCGCTCAATATTCATGAAAAAAAAATCATTTCTAATGATTAATATACTGTCAGTGTCATTGAGATATGTATTAGATATTTAAAATCGACTGAATTATTGTGTTAAATTAAATACTCGCGCAGTTATCATCATAAAAACAATCTTTTAGGAAATGTATACATGGTATTTAAGATGCTGGAGAGCATTCCTGTAATTCAGATCCATAACTCAAATCACTGTCAGCATTAACATAAAAAGCAAAGAGCTGCGTAAAAATAGAACAACTGTTATCCTTCATTGTTCTCGTGTCTTGTTGTTTGTTTTTTCACTATTAAGAGTAACGTAATGAATGTATTCATTCGGCAGTATGTATTGCGTAAGGGGAACAACTCGTGCTCCTGTCAGCCGACCTCATCAACAACACCACGTAACATAAGTTAGTAATTCATTATTCTACTAAAGTTGACATAATTTATCATTCCTTTTTTTATGGTCGTAGTAAAATATTTTAGGTTGGCGGGACAAAGGAGGTGCACATACTGAAAAATAACAGCACGTTTTGATAAGTATCGTGTTGCAGCCCTCTCGTAATCCAGGATGATTTCCAGACCAAATATTATTCAAATATTAAGAGATGCTTCCATTAGAATCTATTTTGAATCTTTAACTTGTTGTATATGTAGTGATGTTGACAGATCACGCAGTAAAACTCATTTTGAAACCATATGTCTCTCTTCTTTCTTAGGTAGCGCAATCTTATTTATATTATGACTAAAAGCTTAGTTCTGTAAATAAAACCAAAATGGCTACCTCTTTAATCATAATTCGGTGACCATAGGCCAAACAAAAACATGAAAATGACTTAATTGAATTTCTGGTGCACAATACGTTCCAACACAATATCGACATACCCAGTGGAACATAACACGCCCCTCTCCCTGATATTTTGTCTTCATTGTCATGCGAGATATAATTTATAAAGTACCATATCAGAATAGGTAACAAAAATTTTATCACGTCTCTCAAACTAAGCACTATATTCATTAGTGATGCGTTGAAAACAAACATATGAATGAATAAAAACGACAAAGGCATTTGCATATACCCTTCTGAATTTTAAATCACTTTAGTCTGTACATCTAACTCAACCAGGATGTATAGTTTTCCACTGAACTATATGAAAATTTTATCAGCCTATTCATGATAACTTCCTTGTTATGAGTTTTATATAGTCAAAAAATCTTCATTATGATGTTAAAGCATGACGTTAAAACGATACTCTAAGTCTCAAATATATGTGTCCCAGGTTCATTGATAAATGTCGACAGCCGACAGAAAAGCTTAAAGCACCGGATTCTACATTTGTGTCCATGTAATATGAATGCTGGTCACACATATCATAACATATATAAACAGTAAAATATATAGATTTATAGAAAGTTAATGACGTGACGAGAATAAAGAAATCTATACTTTCATCAAAAATCATACTTCTACTCTGTGAATTCTTACCAGTAATACTGCTCAGTATTCCCTATCCTCTAAATATGTACTGTTTCAATCAATTTAAATACTAAGTGTATCAGTACTATGTACAGAATGTACAGGTACATATACAATGTATAGATACTATGTACAGATACTACACGTACAGATACTACATGTACAGATACACTATGTACAGATACTACATGTATAGATACTACATGTACAGATACTATGTACAGATACTACTATGTACAGATACTACATGTACAGATACTATGTACAGATACTACACGTACAGATACTACATGTATAGATACTACATGTACAGATACTACATTTACAGATATTATGTACAGATACTATATTTACAGATATTATGTACAGATACTACACGTACAGATATTATGTACAGATACTACACGTACAGATACTACATGTATAGATACTACATGTACAGATACTACATTTACAGATATTATGTACAGATACTACATGTACAGATATTATGTACAGATACTACATGTACAGATACTATGTACAGATACTACACGTACAGATACTACTCGTATAGATACTACATGCACAGATACTACATTTACAGATATTATGTACAGATACTACATTTACAGATATTATGTACAGATACTACATGTACAGATATTATGTACAGATACTACATGTTCAGATTCTATATACATATACTACATTTACAGATATTATGTACATATACTACATGTTCACATACTATGTAGAAAATTTACAGTCATGTGGCCAGATCAAATATTGAGTCATTTCCGTGTGATTCTTAGAGATAAAACAAAATAAGACAGCTGACTAAGTATGGAGGAAGTATCAAAATAACTTGTTGAATATTACATCACATTCAATTTAAATTCCACTCACAATTTTATTTATTGGACGCCTTTATGTGTTTATTGTTTGTAAATCTAAATCCTACAATATATAATCATATATTTTATGTATGCGGACCAAATATTTATCACAGGAATGGCATTTTATCGAGTTAACCCCCTTACCTAACTTGGCAAATATCCTACCCACTTCATATCAATATTGATACAGTATTGCAATGGTGTTTTTCAGTCTGTCCACCAATGAAAAATACCACTGTAATAAACGAGGAAATTTCGTTTAGGAATTTTAAATATTTGATAACGTGTATTGTTCTTTTGTAGAGCTTAATTGATTGTGGGTTGATTATCTGACTAACAAAGACACTTTGTACTTATCTAAAAATAACTCCTCTCACTTTCCAACGTAAATATCTCTTGCAACTTATCGTTATTGCATGCGATTTATAATTGTTCAGATGTTTTTTTACAGATTTTATTTTCAACATGAAAACACCTTTATCGCTAACCACCTTCAATATTTCAATATCCACAGATGACAAATAATTGACAAATGTATCATTTTTTATACCATTGGTAACAACAGATATCGACAGCAATACTTCATATGAAACAGCATCACCGTAGAAGGGGATGTTGGTCACCTCGTGTGTGCTGAACGCTGATTTCTTACGTGTTGGTCGTAAAATCCGTGACCTAACACCCACCCCTGAAACATTTTCATTTGATGACACTATTAAGTTAGTGTATTGCAATAATTAGTGACCTGTAGATAAGTACTTTCTAAAAATATTTATTCCATACACGACTCAAAAAGGTCTTTTCAATTAAGTCATTATATCATGTATTTAAGGAATGGCGTCAGATTTTACACAATTGTATAACCAACAAATAAATAGATCAATAATAAATGCTGAAAATGCAGAATGTTATTTCCATGATTAATCTCTTAATTTAATTAGATATCATCTCTTTATAGATGTCATATTTTTATGACATGTTATTAATAACGACACGTTTATCTGTTCCGATGGCGCGACTGTCAGTACTTTGATAAAGGATAATAGAGAATTCAACCCAGATAATAGCAATACATTTATTAATCAGTCTATCAATAATATACCTTTACGACGCTGTGGTGTGAGTTCATTGTACGATGCACGTGCTTTTGTGAAATGAATCATGATGATTATCAACGTAAATATATCAACAAAATTAATTGTGACGTCATAACGAGAACAAAAGATATAATTCGATTTAAAAATGGCTATGACTACAAACATTATAACTTGAAATCAAAACTGGACTGGTAGCAAAAATATCAATATCTTATTTCTTTTTGACTATTTTGATTTTGTCTCTTCTACATAAAAGACTTTTCTGTAGTTGGAACCGGAAACTTAAATAAAAAAACTGTAATTTTCAACTTCATTGTTTATATCAACAAATGACACAAACAGTGGGATGTCATCTAACATTATCCCCCATGGGAAATTTAACATGAAGTCAGTGATCTTTTAATGTCACCCCGAGAGATATCGCCCGGAAATGTGAAATGTGATTCATATTTCCTAGTAATAACGTTCTTCACATGACCTCAGAAAGTTTCATATTTAAATCTATACTAACTATAGTCATTTGTCGGTCACGTTTTAATAATTGATTTTTCCGCATTTATAAATACAAGTATGTATTGTTCTTTAATCATATTCTAATTTATTTAGAGAACTTTGCATGTAACTAGTAATAATCAACACCATTTTAAGGTTAATAACTAACAACAAGTGACCCTATGGACCTGGATTGCTCAGCCTAACTATAGACCATAATCTGATATGATCGAGACCGTTTGTTAACATTTGTAAGTTTAAAAGTCCAATCCCCAAACGTTCTACTTCACTATCATTTTGATTCCTAACAGTTGTAATTAGAGCAAGGTACAAAGAAACTTCAATGAAACCTATATCTTGCAACAAACTATGACATATTTTTTTCAAAGCAATTATTAAACACAAAAGTCTTATGGGCCTGAATCGCTCAACTAGTCTATATTTCACAAATAAGACTGTGAAATCGTTAACCAATTATTTTTTGCAAGTTTGAAAGCCTGATTCCCAATAATTCTGGAAACAGACACCGTGACAATTGGCTGACTGGTAATTAACAAGCAGTCGTTTGAAGATTTTAACACATTGATCCCTGTGAACATGCAAATGGTTAAGGTCATGCATTTGTACAAACTTAGTACGGGTTGAATACGAAGTTTCATATTAGTATTTCCATCTGTCAGAAAGTATATAGAGAAAACTCAATCAGTGTTGGACGGGATGACGACAGCATACCGAAAATGATATTCCATTTTCAGCTGGTACTTAACATGATGTAAATTTAGTATAAGTAAGGAATACAAAGTAAATAATAACCATTCGAAAACGTGGAAGTTTCGGGAAATTAACTATTAATTTGCTGATGCTAATGGGGGCCATTTTAAAGATTGCCCCAAAAAAATAACAATTCAGACGATCGGACCGAAATGTTCAAAATACCAATTTATCTAATTCAAAATTGATTATAAAAGGAAAAACATTTGCACGAAGATAAAATGGCTGAGTTTCCGGAAACAGAAATAGATTCAAACTTCCATTTTCTAAATATAATCGTGAGTGTGTGTGTGTGTGTATATATATATAAGTATATAAGGCTCGCCGCGCGTTGTAATATTCGCTATGCTAGTTAACACCGATACTTCGCTTGGCTAATTAATACATATACATAGTACATTGTTCTTATTGTATATTTGTAATATTACAGGAAACAGAAATAGATTCAAACTTCCATTTTTTCTAAATATAATCGTGACAAGTCTAGCTTATGACTTGTTTATATCCAGTGCTCTAAAAACGTTTGAGCATTTCAAAAATACTAATTTGAAACTAGGGCAATGTATATGAGGACTATTTGTTTGGTGTTATTTTTCTTTGACAGTATGTTAAGGCATGCTGAGTACGGTATTTTGTATTTTTCAGGTTTCATTTTCATTGTAAATATCATCATCATGCAGTTTGAGATACGAGAAAACCGACAATTCCCCACCTGTGGGTCACAATCCAACAGCTACAGGGATTCTAAGACACCCCCCGGAATGACGGAAGACGACCAAGTGGTTGGTCAATACAATACAACGGATAGCTCAAGATCCAAGCCCCTTGCACACCCTCGATTTTCTCTCTATGCAGATCGGATTAAGACTTTCTCCTCCTGGCCTACAGATTTGAACCAGCAACCTCACGATTTGGTCGCAGCCGGGTTCTTCTACCAAGGTAAATATAGAACATAGCGTTGTTATAATATTCGCAGAAAAACAAATGTAAGATATAATTTCTGTCGGGAGCCGGAAGGTCAGTAACAGCAGCCAATATCATAAAATCATTTTCTAGGGATTGATAAATTCTGTGCTAATATTTCTATCGTTCTCCCCCTCCCCTTTTCAAAGTAGGATGTTTAAATGAATTATATTTTTTTTCAAAATAGGGACGGCAGATATTGTGACATGCTATTCCTGTGGTGGAAGTCTCAAAGAGTGGGAACCGGTTGACGACCCTATGATTGAACATGCTCACTGGTTCCCTAGCTGCCAATTTCTACTACAATTGAAAGGAGAACACTTCATTATGCAAGCACAACTACCCGGACAAAGAGAAGAATCACCAGCCTGTATTGAAAAGGTAACTATAAATGGTTCAGCGATCACAGCAACATAGTTAATATATTGAATGATCCTGGTACTTTAACATCCTGAACACTGAGTATGTGTAACATATAGGTGCAGATATAGTTAAAACAGATTGCTTAAGTTTTATAGCGCTATGATTATCTTACTTAATCATATGCAGATACAGCTTTATAAATAACTCTTAATACTTTCACATATCTACCTATATATTGCAACAGCTTGTCTTTTCTACTAAGTTGCTTATACATATAAGTTAGATTCATAATAGGTGTGGAATACAGAAATAAATTATCACATCTAGAGAATACTGTTGCATCATAAAAAGCTGTGCCCTACTGATTAGTACTCATCTTTATGATTGTGTGTGCTGTATCTATATTGTAATAATCTAGGTTCACGTGAGGGAGATAATAACTATTGTAATTAGAAATATTAGCATAAATTTAACTATCAGAGTAGTCTGTCACGTTGAATCGAATCGAATGGAAAATTTCCTGACCTTGTTACTATTATCACGGATAAAAGTCTGTGCTATTATTAACTGGAAATTCTCAGTAATTTATCTAGGCCATGCCTATGTATAGCGATCATTGTTATCGGCAATGTATGGGGAGTTTTAACATTAAACCAGCGATATATATGCACTTTAAAATACCCATAACAACTCAAGGTAACATGTATACACGTGTACATATGTACACTTATGTACATGTAATATTACCACCTTGTAAAATAACAGTCTATACATGTATATGTAATCCAATGCCGATATGAAGTATTTTAGTTGTGATTACAGAAAGAAATTTTTAGGGTCATGATAAGTGGTCTCTAAAAAGTCTGTAAATAGCTGTAAAATTACATGTACACAATGTAGAGAATCTATTGCAAACAAACGTTTTCTGCATAATTGATCATAATCAATGTCTAATTCATTTCTACGAAACGTGATGCATATGTGTTTAGTGCTGCCGTAGTTTATGTGTTTTCTAGATCAGACGAGGATGAGTAATTTTCGGGGAAATCTACTCGTTTTCGAAAATGTGTCGCGACGTTTAAGTACATGTTCCGACGGAAACCGGTAATCCGGACGCCCTGCCAAGCACACCCTCAAAACAAATACCATATAGATTTTTGCTGTCAGGAAGTGATTACATAGGATTTCAAACCGATAAAAATATCGTATATATTACGTGGCAGTGGCTAAACCTAAATTAAGAGGAAGCGATTGTTGTTGTTTAAGGATAACTTATTTGAACGAAGAAAACAAAATCCCATTTGATGCCTTTTTTCAAGAAAAATATAAAATCTTTTTATTCGATGTAATTTTTTCAAGAAATTCATACTTTTGTGAATACAATTCATTTGAGTTATATAAGAAATCTATTATTAGAGGATAATCAGATGGTATTTTGTAGTCATGAATATTCTTCGGTTTAATTCAAAAAGAGACAATACTGAAGTACAATAGTGCCCCTCCCGTAGCCGTATTTAATTTCTTTCGATAGATTTCTAACACAAAATGATAACGTTTGTATTGACAGAATGTACGATACAATATGGCGGATTCCGTTGCTACAAACTTGCAGACACGGACACAGACCCCTCATTCACAAAATGTTACGTCCGGCGAGAACATGGAACAACTGTTAAACACCCCAGCAGCACTCAGCGTACTGATGATGGGTTACGATAGGGACACCGTCATAGGGGCTATAAAGAGATGCCTCAAATCAGGTACTTATAAAATGTTTTATTTTATTCAGATGTAAAGCTTCTCTCTCACGAAATAAAAACTGGAAGACAAAATATCCGTAGACAGTAGGTTACTGCAAAATTCACATTATAAAGAATTCGTCAAAAGTCAAACAAAATGGTCAGAGACGGGTAAGTACAAGTGTTTAATCCACCGGTTATCAGAGAAGGAGTACCTCTCTTATACAGGTGACAGAAATAGCGTTGAATTAAAAACACAATTGATCATGTATACAAAATAAATAGAAAAGGTATCTTTTCTATTTTATTTAATAGTGCGCTAATTGCATTCAAATGGACAATGTGGAAATGTAGAAATGATATAAAACATAATAGTATTAAATATAGTATCAATCAAATGCAGAAGAAAGTTCAATCAGTAATAGTTAGCAATCTAATTTTATATGTAAAGTCCAATAAAAAGAAAACATTGCCTATTGAATATGCACAAAATATACTTAATAAGATACTAGATCAATGAAAGAGGCATTCTTTTATTACAAGTTAAATGTCAAGCTATGTTTAAACATATATATTGAATAAACAACTCATTTGTAAAGAACAGGATTACAATTAAAAGTATAAAACGAGCACTGTGATGAAGAGAAAAAAAAAAAGAGTTGATGTGACGTGATTTGAGAAGTTCCAAAACATGTAATATAACACTTGTTAATTCTCTTATGCATCTGTTGTGTAGTTAAAAAATTAGACTAATTATCATATATCATATATGTCTATGATTAGGATCTGTTATGTATACCGTTCTTTTGTGTATCTTAATATTTGTGACTTGTAACCGATGATAACGCAATCTGTCTGTCGTCCGCATGTTTATCGTTTCATTTTTCATGGAAGGCCGTATGTGATTTATCTGTGTGTCTGTGAGTATGTCAGTCTATGTGTCTGTCTGTGTATGTTAGGGTGTGTGTGTCAGGATGTCTGTCTGTGTGGCTGTATGTTTATTTGACTGTCATGTGTTTGCTAGTGTGGCTGTCTATGTTTATGATTGTGTGCATGTCTGTCTGTCTGTTTCTCTGATTGTCGGTGTGTCAGGGTGTGTCTGTCTGTGTGTCTGACTGCCTACATTTCTGTCTCTCTGTCTCCTTGTGTTGTCTGTGTCTTTGACTTTATGGCTGTCTATCTGTCTCAGTATTTACTTTGTATATTGGTCCTGTTAATGTTTGAGTTAATTAATGCTAATATATTAGAATGAACGTAGACATTTAAAGAACGTCACGCTTATAACATTCTGAATGAACGTAGACATTCGAAGAACGTCACGCTGAACGTCATGCTGATACTATTCTGAGTGCTCAAAAAAAAAAAAGAAAAAAAAAAAAAAAAAAAAAAAAAAAAATAGAACAACCATGTCACATTTGACAAACTGTATTCCAGGATTTCATAAAAACTGAAAAAGCTACAATTAAGTTATTTGAGAGAATTATTCCACAAGAAAACGGGCTCAATATATATGAGTAAAAAAAATGTAAAATCACGATGTTCGCAGATATCCGTCAAACAACTTAACAACGGTCATAGTCGGACGATATAATAGAAATGTACAAATACAAATTTGAAGGAAAGCGATTGAAAACTACACCAGAATCAATTGCCAAAGTGCTGTTAATATTTTTACAAAAAAACTTGATAAAGCTCGAAAAGTTACACGGTTACCAGATGTTCAAGAAGGACATTCGTCTTTTGCTAGATCGATGGCACAGATTCTATGCAAATTCTGATTATCACAATTTTATTTGACACTTCATGTCTCCCCCATTTATTGTTTTCATTTTTTTCGATTTTGTCTTTTTTCCAAATATGCACTTTTTTTCCAAATCTTATTTTCATTTCAAAAACAGGACAAACATTACCCTCAGCCACAGATATTATGAAGGTGTTATTAGACATGGAAGACGAAAATGAAAACGAAAATAACAGCGAAACAGAAATCGTATTCAATGAGACAAACAATGAAGACACAATGAAAAGTGAAAGTGAAAATGAAGTAATGAAAAATGAAAGTGAAAATGAAGTGGTAAAAGGTGAAAATGAACGTGTTGATATGAGTCAATTCCGAAATGAACCTAGGTACTCACAATGTACGGAAGGTCCATCGTCTGGGCCAAATACAACGTACAACACGACATCGCCTTTCTCTACGTATGCATCACAACCGGTTTCTGACAAATGTCTGCCTGCACAAACCAAATCGACTCCACAGACACTCTCTTCCGAACTCAATCAAATGAATGGTGAGATATTGTTTAATACTTGATATTTTCGGAAGAACAACAGTTGTAGCAATGCACATCACCGACAATAATGTCTCGCAAATCTGTAGCTGAATTCGTTTTTTTAGAGCAAAACTATATATTAACTGGCTATTTCATAAAATTCTGATAATTTTGGTTTCAACGTTTAATTTTCTGTATAAGTTTCATCGGAGGACCGGTCTGCTAATGCCATACCAAATCGTCGATCGTGCGCTGTCCGTTTTCTTAATATATCGCTAAAGATTGATAAGATGTTGTTCTAGTCAGAAGCATCCTTAGGGAGAGTGAAACAAATTTTGTATAAATGGTGGCTCTATGCCCTTTGGGACTTGAGGGGTGGCGTCTAACGGGAAAATTTAGAAAGTTCTTTTCTACAGAAATTATTAGATTTTGTCCAAAGCTGGTTTGGCGCACCCTTGGGTGAAGGGCAATCAATTGTGTTGATCTTGACCTCCTGAGGCGGGAGAGGTGGGTTCCAATAGAAGGAGTAGAGTAAATTCTCTTAATTCTTTCTGCCTCTGTGGAATTGCTTGGACTATGTTCCAATTAGTTCTGAAACATCTTGGGGGAAAGGGGAATTAATTTCGTATAAACGGTATGTCTCGGCCCCTGAGGTGTTAGAAAGTGTGCTCCAAAAGATGGAGTGAGGGACGTAGACAAAAATGCTTAGAATTCATCTGTAAGCATGTCTGGATAATAATTTGACCAAAAACATCCTTGGATGAAGAGGAATCGATGATCATGAACGATAGGTGTTGGCCTCCTGAGGCATAAGGGATGGGGCCCAACAAGGGGGAATAAAGCAAATGCTTTGAAATTCTTTCTTTTTTTTTTTTTTTTTAGGAATTATTATATGAATATTGACTTACTGACAGTATAGCATTTAACTCGTATAACAACAAAGGAGATAATAATATCAACTGGGAGAGTTGTTTTAACATATGTTCTCTTGTTTTTCGCAGACCTCGTGGAGGAAAACAGGATGCTAAAAGAAAATGGCTTGTGTAAAATATGCATGGACAAAAACTCTAATACTGTCTTTCTCCCCTGTGGGCACCTGGCTACATGTGCGGAATGTGCATCATCGCTTCGTACGTGTCCATTGTGCCGGATGCATATACATGGTACCGTTAAAGTTTACTTAGCGTAATCATTCTAAGTACAGCAAGACCATGCAGTAAGTAATTCCGCCATAGCAGGTCCCAAGCCCTAGTTGAGAAAGGAAGAGGGAGTAAGAATATTCCATATAGGTTGCACAGGACAACATTAACGCACCTCCAAAAACAAAAGACTTTCAAAGATGTATCTGTAATATGTATATAGATTGCATAACAATTATGATCCGAGTGTTAAATATATCATTTGTTTCATATGATATCCACGAACAGTTTGTATTAGTGTATGGTTGATCTCTCTTATTCATTATTAAAACAATACTGCACCACATGCTATGGCCTGTTGTAAATAACAGATACATGTAGAACCATAATACATTGTAATAATACATTGATATAATACATTGTAATAAAACTAGTTTATTAATTATACTTCCACGTAGATTAACCAGTTATATGAAAGTACCAATATGATCATAATCATTGTCAGTGGAACCAATTAACTCTCTGTTTTATCTTCATTAATACCATGTTTTAGGTAGAATATGTTTATACAAAGTTATGAATTAATTTGACAAATTTATTGATAATGCGCTCTTCTTGATAGGATATTTTAACTGTATTTATAATTGTTCAATTGTTAAATCAACCTGATGATATATTTTAACTATATTTATAATTGTTAAATCAACCAGATGATATATTTTAACTATATTTATAATTGTTAAATCAACCTGATGATATATTTTAACTATATTTATAATTGTTAAATCGCCATGATGAGTTGTAACAAAATGTCAACTACTTGTATTCCTATGCCAGGGTGTCTATGAATATCGATATAGAAAGTAGTAATTTAAGTCAATATTTGGATTCTACAAAGGACAAAGAAGAGAATAGAACCTTTCTATAATATGTAAGTGAATCCAAACAATTCATTAAGCGACATCGTATAACGTTATCGGCCTTTTAGACCATTTCAGTTATACTATGTGTTTAAGCCCTGAAGGTGACAGAGGAACATAAAGATTATCCTAAAGAAATATCAAAATCCAGATGTTATGGTCCACTAGCCCTTTATTTTCTTTCATAAATTCCAAATATCAGATTGATTTAAAAGAACATCAAATATATGTATATGGTCTGTATTCCGCAAACCATTCGAATATATTTAAATGTGACATGAAGGTTTAAGTCAAGTTCGGGGATTTCATAATCAATCAAATTCTAACCATACCGATATGCCATACATCTGATAGGTTATATAAATTGACCTAATTAGTGATATAAGGTTTCCGCTCTTAATACGTAGAAATAGGCTATAAACACTGTATAGTCTAATGCTAATTGTGATGGAGACAAAATTTACAAGCGTTAGATTCCATCTACATACTGGTGTGTAATTCTACGTATTTAGTATACATTTATTGGATTTGGATGGGTGCCAGTTTTGCGCCATTCTGCGGTAATATGATTATTACTTCTAGGATGACGCTTCACGCTCACCTGCATATAATATGTTATTCATGTATGGGGAAAAATGGAAAATTTGGTAGTCAAAGTAGGGAGATTTTAAAATGAAAATGTAAATTTAGTTGATATTGATAGAAAGATTTTGTTTTAAAAAATGCCTTGAAAGTTCAAGTTTTACAGTGTGTTAACTGAGAATAGAAGAGTCTTAAAAAGTATGCAGAAGACATAATTTCACATCAAGTTATTTTTAAACTTCTTCAAAACCTTTTATTAGCCAATCTTAAGATAGATTGATTTCAGATAAGGAAATTATAATATAATCTTAACAAATTTCCTACCATACCTGACCACGGCACCGTTAATGAGGTTACATAATGCATTTTAATTTTCAATCAACTTTTCTGGGAGAACACATTTGACCCTGATCAGAGAATGTGTTTTTACTCTAGAAATTGACCGAGCCGAATGAAGAATGGAAAGTATAGTTGTAGAGAGGTAAACATTGAAATCAAGATATCTTAAGATTGCTTTACTTAATAGAACTTCAGTAATTTCCAGGCTTTGTCACCTGATAAAGACGGTTATGAATTATGTGACTGTAACATATATTATCCATTATTTGTTACGCATTTAGTTCTGAAGGTCTTATACATTGTTAGCAGAAAAATGCAACTTTCATTCTAATGTTAAGTTTGTAAGTTACTTTCCTGCTTCGACACCCAAACCAAATTTCTGTAAGCTCATTAAAAAAATCTTAAGTTTTAACAACATACAATATGCAAGTGACCTTCAAGTGCCTTTCTGCTAAAATTAAGCTGAGTGATCACATAATGACCCTTCTTTGCATTGGAAGATGTTTATCTCCAGTGTGTCTTTTATACAATCGCAACAAGGTAAGTGTAATCGGATGTAGGTAGCTTATATATGTTTCCATGATAAGATTGTCACATATACGAGAAATATTAACGCGGGCACCTTAAGTAACACAACAAGGGTTGTTGTTATAATACACTAAATGGTATACTAAGCGTGACATTATTACGACAATATTTTTTACATAGATATGACCCTACAAAACGCTGTCTTTAATATCAGCTATAAATGACATAACATCTCTTCAGTATTTAACGTCTAGAATTAAGAAAAGTTGTCTATAAAATTAAAGTGTCAAATGGCCAGTTTCCAACTGGTGTCAAAGTACCGATTCTTAATTGGTGTCGACATGATAGGCAGAATACCAAAAGAGCAGTTTATTAGTCATCATAAGTAGGATTCTCAGATGTTATACTTTCATTGAGGTCATAATTGGTAAGATTGACAAATTGACGTTGGTAGGATTGTCTTATTGCAGTTGACGCAATCCATATAATTGCCAAATTACGGCTTAATAAGGTGTCAATCCTCGATACTCCAGAAGTACGCTCTCTTTTGTTCTCTGCACCCATGTAACATATCATGGCAAAATTGAAGACACAAGATGATTTGTTCCAGGTGAGAAAAAAGGACCAATCGCAGGCTGGTGCGCTCCTCTGAAGATTACAAAGGTGCAACACCCAAATTTAAAATCGCTAAAACAAACCGTTATGCGACATTCATCCTTCGAGATTCGTTTGATGTACTAACTAGTCTTGTCCACAAGGTGATGCACCCGAAACCTTCAATTTTGTCATGTACCAGTGGTGCAGAGCGATAGTGAGCGTAAACACTGGGGTATCGATGGTGATAAGATGTCGACATTCATGTGAGAAGTCTGAAGTTCTGTTTTTAACTGACGTCGACATGATAGGCGGATATTCATATGTCGACATTCGTGGTAAAGTTGTTATTCTGTCAAGTATCCTATAAATGTCGACATAAATGGCAGAGATGTAAGTTGCTACGTCCTTTTCTCAATTTATGCCGACATAGGCGGCAGAGTTGAAAGAAAACTTTTTCTTACTCTTTAAATATCACCATAAATGATAAAAGATGTCCTGTCCGGTATTCAGTAAATGGCGAAATAGATGATAGATTTGTAAATGCCCTGTCAAGTACTCTTGTTAGATACCCTGTCCGAAACTTCATAAATTTTGACATAAATAGTAGATTTGTGAGACGTTCAGTCCGAAACTATATAAAAGTAGACATGAAGAGATAATTTGTAAGACGCTTTATCAGTTCTCTATAAATAAATTTTGTATTATGTATTGTCAAGAAGTTTATAAATGTCAGGTTTCTTGTCTATTAACACACTTGATTTACACACTGGGATTATTCATAACATACATTTGACATTTGCAGTGTGGAGATACGTGATGTAATATTGTTAAGCAGAAATCTATCTTTACACAGAATATATAAACTATGTACCAGAAAATGTATGAAAATGTTGTTACATAAGTTCAGTAAATCCAGAATGAAATCATAACTCGATTAAAACCCAATTTTGATATGATCCAAGTTCGGTAAATATATGTATGTAAGGAAATGTAAATTACTATGTTTTATTTTGAAATACTATTAAACCAAGACAAAGTCAAAGAAAACAATACAGTATGGGGTATTGAAGTACATATGGGAAGAGCCTAACACAACTTTTGCACTAAGCTCATCTTTCTCTCCAACGGTCCTGAACCCAATTAGAAATCTCTTAATCAAAATGTAGATAGCAAAAACAAAAATCCTTGTTCTGTAAGGTATATGTTGAAAGGAAAACGAAATAAAACGAAGAAAAAGGAAAAATGAAACCGATGTATTGTCTTTTCAGTATTAGAAAGATAGATCTGAGGTACTTTATAGTCTAAATCAATATTGTTACCTTACGTGACATAGCTGTCCATAGCTACGTCCCTGTTTTAAAGGAGTGTTTTCGTCTATGATTGTATCAACTTGAAGTTTATCCATGTCACAAGCTAAATGATAACTTGCAAGCGTAAACATATTTGTTTAATCGATTCTATTTATAAGGATACATTTATGTGATTGACCTTTGCACTTTCTTTTGAGGACAAGTTGGTATAGTATACACTATAAGCGTGAGTCAGTGCGTAAAACTGCATCGTCATTCTTATATGTTGTATAAATGTGCACTGTACATGGTCATTGATACTTGATTATTGACATCCAATAGCCAGGGATGTGGTAAGTACAGTTTGTTTCAGAATATACACATACACTTAACATTGTTTCTGTATCAGATAACAATTATTTGTTGAATTTTGGCGTGAGTGCAACTTACAATTTTTTGACATGGTTTGGTACGTTTTGATTTTAAACTCGGTCGCGCTAGGTTGCATTAACTAAATAATGGTAATCGCGGACGAGTCCCAGAAAGAATGAAGCGGTAGAATGATGCTGTTTCATTCATTATTTAACTTTATTATTAGTTTCCCCCCTTGTAGAATTATTTCATAAATATTTTGAAATCAGATAATCAACAGAACTGGTAGAAGACATGAGACAGTAGAATGCCATCTGGACTGTATTCGGTTATACATCATATTTTGTTCGGAATGTATTATATCCCACAAGGGGTGATATGAATTTTGTACTGTTTAAATGCGAACATTTTACGTAATGATAA